CATAACTAAGGGAGGATTCAGGGTCACCTGGTCCAGCCCTAACTATATGTGTTCTCTGTGAGCATTAAGGGAGAACTCTTTCTAAAATTGTCCATATGTGTGTAACATTTCAGCACGACCGCAACATCATCCACCGAGACCTGAAACCGGAGAATATCTTCTACACCACCAGCTTTTGCATCAAAGTTGGGGATTTTGGTTTCAGCACAGAGAGCAGCCCTGCTGAGCTTCTCACCACCTTCTGTGGCTCTCCGCCCTACGCTGCTCCTGAACTTTTTAAGGAAAAGGGATACGTCGGACGTTACTCAGACATTTGGGCTTTAGGTATTCTCTTGTACTTCATGACAACAGCAACTTTACCCTTTTATGGGGAAAATCTGGGCAGGCTGAAGCGCTGCATCCTCCAGGGGGCTTACCGTATCCCCTCTTATGTGCCAGATCCGTGCCAGCTGGTGATCAAAGGCATGCTGCGGATTGTGCCTGCTGATCGCTCCTCTTTAACGCAGATTTCAGACAGTGCTTGGCTGAAGGGGATTGAGTTCCCTCGTCCCTATACGCCGTTGCCACTGTCTCCTGCTCACTTTGCACAGACAAATCAGACTCTGTGCGTGGAAGAGCAAGAGGTAAAGAGTTTGCTGTCGGATCTCGGGGTCGTGGCGCTTCATTTCCAGAATAACCCCTGCTTGGACTGCAGGAATCCACTGACAGGGGCCTATCGCATCCTCCTCCATCGAGTCCAGAAGAGGAGGTCGGTCGAGGCTGTGGGTTACTCTGTGCTCAAACCAGATGAGTACGAGAGTCCGAGCAAGTGGTCTGCAGCAGCAGTTGACAAACACAATCCTTCCACTGTATGTGCAATACTATAACGACAAAGAGCTGCACCCGACTCCTTCATTTGTGGCACCAAAGCGACTTTATCACATGTGTGCGCTCTCATGCAGTCCAGGTATTATGTTACACACAGACTGAAGTGGCAGTGGATGTGGACGTCAGAGTGGACAGTTGTTTTCCACATTGTAAATCAATTACAGCTCATAGACCAGCCTGTGATTACATCACCAACGGCAAGATTACTGACGCAAAACACCTATCAATCACTGAATGGCTATCAGCATCTTCCAATCCTTCTTAGTCAGTCAAATCTGACCTAATCCAGGTAAGCCTAATGAGACAGCCACAAGGGAACATGCTTGGCCCAACAGAAAGTAAAAAAGAAAATGTGTATCAGGAGGAAATATAAGAAAAAGAGAGAAAACAAAAAAATAAATTGTAAAATTAGCCTACCGCATTTGCATTACAGCAAATGCCTCAAATGCCTTCATTGGGTATGCATGTGACGTAAAAGTGATTATAAATGCAGTTCATGTTGTTCACTAAGGAGGAGAGTCAAGCGCACAGTGAATGTTGAGAGTTTACCTTGGTGTTATTATATTTTTTTCATATCTTTGTAAATTATTCTCATGTTTGCTCACATTTTAAAGCAATGTTTTCATAAATCCTCCAGGGATGCTGCCCTGAGCTTCAAGCCACGCTGTATCAGTAATTCTAGCACAGATTAAGGCCAGATTCATTAAACAGAATAAAGTTATTTTCAAACAGTAATTTAAAACTGTTTCCCCTCTAATCTCCTCATCTGGACATCCTCCCCCCGATTCTTTCCTTCCAGCAGGAGGCATGTTATCACAGCACAATGTGATCGTCTCGTTCTGCTGCATGCAAGACTCCAGATTTATATTGTTAAAAACTGCGATTTCTACTGGGATGCAAAACGAGATCTTCTTTATTTGTAAGCCTTGAAATTCGATAAATCCTCGACTCTCGAGCCAGTTCTCAGGAACTGACTTTGGAGTCAATTCAAGCACTTTCGGTAAAAGGAGTTTATGAAAAATGAAAGTGTGCACTGTGAACATAACGTGTCATTTCACCCCAAGTGCATATAAAAACGAACTGGCTCTCTCCCCAGTTAATGATGGTTCATTTTCCCATCACTTGCACTTCTCCCTGAGGGTACAGCGGTCTCTCTAAACCAGGTATAGCTCTGGGACCAGTAACATTACAACTTGACGTCAGTCCTGTCAATGACTGCACACACCTGCTCTGTTTCTGATGGGTATTTGGCACTATCATAAGCTTTATATTTTGCAATAAAATATTTAGCCCTCAACCCGCAGCCTGTTCGCACAAGAATGTGAAGACACACTGCGTGGGCAAGTGCAGACACATAGAGAGATCACAAAGATCCGAACAAGTGCCAAGAATTAGTCCCGACTCGCTGTTTATTTATGACTCTGCTCTTGTTCAGTACCAGTGGGCAATAAGTGTCTGTTATCATTTCCACCTGAGAAAACTCTTATCATCAAGTCTCAGCAGAGTCATTCATTAAACTGCTCACCGATCTAATCGCTAATGATTCTTTGTGAACTTAACATTGAGAAAAAAGGGGTTCAAAAGGTTACACGGGCATGGCTGCAAAGTAAGCTGCTTGTTTTCCACCAGAGTTTACATTCAAAGTTAAATGAGCGTGACTTATCACTCAGCTTCACCAAACAAAAGCAGAAGATTTTTCTGTGCGATGTAAAGCCTGAGACCACAAGGACAAATCTATGAATTTGCTCATATGATCACATAATAATCAAAGTCTTAGTCTTTTTTTCTTTTTACTGTTACTTTCACATTATTAATGTTCTGCTTTTACCTTTACTCATCCTCTGGGATTATCACAAAGAGCCAAGTTTTTTGTCTTCGTAAGCAAGTTTGCATTTATTGGAAATGGTACTTGGCAGTAAAAGAGAACCTCTGCGCTCCGAATGAATGACAAATCAGAGCAGAGAAGGTTGTGAAATAGTAAACAGTACATTCCTAATATGGGCAATTTGTACTAACGATGAGGTTTTTTGCAAAAGAAAACTGCAATTATAGTGGACTGCATGTTAAACATATGTATGTGCACCTCCCTGCTTATTCTCTTTGCTAATCTCTCCACCAGAGAAATAAAAGTTCCCCAAAGTCGTTACCTTTTAAACCGCCTCACTTTAAGACATGATAAATGATTTAGTTTTAGTTTGATATCAGCATGAACAAAGACCCTTCATTTATATTTATTATTGCATAGCCAGCTGCTTTTATCTGCACTGATTGCTTTTAGTGTGCAGCTGCTTGTTTGTTTGAAGCCATTGAATGCGAGCGCTCTTCCAAGGAAAGAAGAGAAAGTTAAGTGTCTGTCAAATAGGAGCAAGACGTAACACGTCTCAGGGTTTAATTTCTTCAAACTACAACAAATGTTCAGCACTTTTGTTACCTGCAGCACGGAGAGCTGTTTCAAGTCTGTCACGTAAAAACTGAGGAGGATGAGCAACACCTTCACCTTCAGAGTTTAGCTGTGGCTCTTTGAACATTAACTAGTTTACTTTTCTCACACAAATATGATTTGAACCGAGAAGACAATCGACTGTGAAGCTTTATGAGGATGAGCATTGAAGTTTGTCTGTTTCCTGTACTCAACCGTTGGCGATTACACCAACACTAAAGTATGCATCCTTATTTGAACTTGGTGATTCATGTGAGAGCTAAATTATTATCTCATTGAAAGGATTTCAGCGTTAAAGACATAATCATTTCTGATCTACTGGGATCAGCAGTTAAAACCAGTCACCCCAGTGGGCACAGACCTGTGAGTGTTAGCAGAGCATATACTCATATTCAGATATCTTCATTTATCAGTGGTCTTATCAACACAGTGCCAAATATAGAGAGCTCTGCTTCTCTTCACCAAGCACTGGTATGAAGAGGTCAAGTCAAGCTCTAAATTATGACGAAATTTGTTGAGCAACTCACTGATGAATCCGACTATCCTTCCATGCTGGGAAAATTAAAGACAAAGAATTTCCATTTTTTGTGTCCTACATTTGAGTGAACAAAGAAGAGGAAGGATTTTGTTCCAGCTTGAAGAAATTAAACTAACTAACTAAACTGTTGACTCTGTGAATCAGCCCCATAAATACTCAGAGAACAAACAAACGAGCGAGTACTACGTTTTTGAGGAAAAATGTTTCTGCCTGCTCGTGTAGTTTATTGATCAGTCTTCCTGTTTCGTGGAGTCTAATGTCATGTCCTCGTGTCGAATGTCATGTCTACACACACTATCGCACAAGCTGTTTCTCAGACATTGAAAGTAAACAGTTGAATAAAAGGAAAGGAAAAAGGTTGGGGATTTGGGGTGTGGGTGTGGGAGGATTAAGGACCTGATTAAAAACATACTTGGCTGCGTTTTCACTCAGGGACATGTGGTTTAGATAGACCATGTCTTTGCCCTTAAAAATCATGATACTCTGAAATTGGTGCTGACGTCTGGAGACATTTCCCAATACATCCATCACGCTCTTCTAAATGACTGACGTCTCGATGTGTGAGGGATGAACATTGTTCTGGGCTGCCAAATGTTGCAGGAGCTGCAAGGCTGGATCACAAACTGTTGGAAAACAGTTGGGCTCCAGACCTCCTGGACCCTCAAAAGACCACTGTCTGCTTTTTGGTTGTACTGCAAGATTAAGTATTCAGATTCGCTGTCGACTGGGGCCTCCATTAACACATGTTGTGATCCTTTGATGCTGAAGAGACCTGTGCCAGAATTTTATTAAAATACGTTTTGTATAAACTTTATTGTTCACACATGGTGCGTAAAAATGTAAAGAAGTTTCAATCTGTAGACTTCTGTGTGGGTGTTTTATCTATAAACCTTAAAGCAACATTCCTCTAAAAAGTCCTAAATAAATTAAAAGGCTGCTGTAAAACAAAACGAGGTGATAAAATGCACAATGAGGCCAGTTTTGGTGATATAATAGTTTCTCCTTTTAAGGAGGTCTTGAATAGATTCTTCCCTAACATGCTAAACTCACTTGTCACTTTATTAAGTACACCTTGTTAGTACCAGGTTAGGCCTCCTTTCTGTACTGCACAGATTCAACAAAGTGGTGGAAGCATGCCTCAGAGATTTTAGCCCATATTGACATGATAGCATCGCAGAGTTGCTTCAGATTTATCGGCTTAACCTCAATGACGCAAATCTTCCATTTCAAAACATCCTAAAGAAGCTTTATTGGACTGAGGTGTGGTGTCTGTGGTGTTCCTTTGAGTACAACAGACTCATTGTCATGTTAAAGAAACCCGTTTGACACGATTTGAGATTTGTGACATTGAGGTTTATCCTACTCGAAGCAGCGATCAGAAGATGGGTATGCTGTGGTCATGAAAGGATGGACGTGGTCTACAACAAAACTCAGGTAAGCCCATTGGTACCAACACCACAGCACTGGTACTACACGGCCGATAGAAAGAAAACATCCCCCCTACCATTACAGTAGCACCACCAGCAGGATTAGTCTATGCAGGATTTTTTCTGCCGTCTGAACGTCACAGCAGAAATTGAGACTCATCAGACCAGACAACAGTTTTCCAACATCTTAACTAAGGAGGTGGGACCAGGCGTGGTCGTCCGACAGAGGCGAGGCTGCCGGACACTGGCGCCACCGGGCCCTCTGACCACCACCAGTAGGCAATGGGTGAAGTGTCTTGCCCAAGGACACAACGACCGAGACTGTCCAAGCCGGGGCTCGAACTGGCAACCTTCCGATTACAAGGCGAACTCCCAACTCTTGAGCCACGATTCCTTGGAGGGCTCAACCCGGGGTTGCGGTCATGGCCTATTAAGGGCTCTGTTGGCTCTTAGGTGACGGTTTCCTCGTGGCTGTGTGCAGTGGGGCTGGGGGAGGGTCTGTGCTGACGGACGTCGGTTACTGACCCGGTAGCCTGGCTGCCCCTGGGTCAGTCCGGGACGGGCGTGGGGTTCTAGGGATGCTCCGTCTCTGGGGCCCCAAGGCCCTGGCTTGGTTGGTGTGTTGCCTGGATTGTGGGCAGGTGGGTGTATGGGGGCCCCGGCCCTGGCGCGGGGTGCCGCCAGTGCATAAGTTGCTGTTACCTTTCTCTCCATTTGAAGCAGTCTAATCATTCTCCTCTGACCTCTGGTATCAGAAAGACATTTTTCCCAGGAGAACTGCTGCATACTGGATATTTTTCTCTTGTTCGGATCATTTTCCGTAAACCACACTCACAGTTGTGTGGGAAAATCCCAGCACATTAGCAATTTCTGAAATACCCAAACCAGCATGAGCAGCACCAACAACAATGCCACACTCAAAATCACTTAAGTCTTCCTCATTCTGATGCTCAGTTTGAACTTTGGGTCATCTCGACCACATTTACATGCCTAAATACATGATTATTATATGCATTAGGAGCTGTACCTAATAAGGTGACCTGCTATCATATATAATAATGCACTTTTCTGCATTTTCTGGTACTTTTATTTCTATTACATTTTACTTTTTAATACATTTGATTTGTTTAGTTTTGTATTTACTAAATCGCTTTTAATCAAGTCTAGTTTTGAGTTTTTCACTTAAGGACTTGTAGTTAAAACCAAAAACTATCGCTATTTTTCCCAAGTGAATGTCAGCAGGTTTCCTTGAGTTGTGACTGGTAATTAAATACATCCTCGTGGGATGACTGTGAGTAATGCGGACACACTTTTACTCGAGCTTTTCATTGGCAGCATGTACTGTTGTTTTAAGACAGACGTGAAGTATGTTAAGTTTGTACTTTAATCCCATCTGGATTGAACGGTTGAGGCAACGCATTCACTTTTATCTTAATGATGTTCTCATCAAGCTAGTGAACACTGGATTTAGTGTACAGTATAACTAATAGCTTCTTTTATAGCTTTGACAGATGGCTCATGTAGTCAATTATCAGCTCAAGCTGAAGGTAAAAAAAAAAATGTTTGAGATTACTGGACCAAAGGCGAGTCGGCCTCCTTTTACTGGAATCTTCCGGAAAACACTACAACAAACCAAAATGATTTGAAGCAGCTGGATGCATTTCTGATTAATTATTCACTTTTATGGAAACCAGAGTTTTTGTTTGCATTTGGACTTTATTTGCAATAGAAAAACACAGAGTACAATTAGAGTGCTGATACAAAAATTAGGAACTCTGTCGTAGATATATACGTATATAAAAACAAAACAAACTCAGCTTAGTCTTAAAGTGTTATTTTGCACACGTTCTTTTCTCACAAACAGAATACATTTATTCACATTTCAAAGCTGCCAAAGAGAGGCTCATTCCTAGCAGGCGCTACACATCACAGAGAAGGGAACACTATCATAGATGGTCCATATAAATGACTTTTTGTTATACTGGATATAACTTTAAGAATACAGTTTGTTTCTGTATCAGAGAACTGTGTACATGATTTACATTCACCATCAGCAACAGGAAATGCCTAATCTACTGAAACACAATCCATCTCGTTAAAGATGATATACGATGCCTGACAGAGGCCCGAAGAGACCGCTGTTCTCTCTCTCTCCTTCTGGTTTTGTTCCTTTTGGTGGCCTACAAAGACACGGGGTTTATGATGATTAATGTGCATTGTCACTGAGAGTGTATGTCATTGTGAGAGTATGTTTTGTATCTTTTTACCTATTGCTGATTTTTGTCCACCCTCTTCATCTCCT